TGCTCTTTCATTTGAGACATGTTCCTTTGTCTCCCCATTTTGGCTGCCTCCCTATGTTTGTTTCTAGGTATTAGATATGGTTATTATGTCTCCCAGTTTTAGTAGAGTGACCTTATGAGGTAGGTGTCCTGTAGGGTCCAGTGGCACAGTCTCCCTTGTCACTTGAGCTGAGTGCTGCAGGTGTGTCCCTTGTGTGGGTTGTATGTATCCTTCTGTTTAGTTGAGCCTTGGTTGCTGTTTGCATGTCAATGAGAGGAATTGATCCTCAAGCTGATGGTTGTGAGGACTGGCCGTGACTACAGTAGAGAAGTTGTTGTGCAGTGACTGACCCTACAGAGCTGGATTTGCTTTAGCAGGGCTCTGATGTCTGCATAGTCTGCCCTTTTATTGTCTCATCTGTGGAGGCACTCTTGTGGTGCTCTGCCTTTGTCCAAAGCCAGACACTAGGTGTGCTGACCCCAGGGTCTCCTGGAAGAGAAGCCTCCACAGGTCAAGTTCAGCTGTTGCCTGTGCCCTTCCCAGGGTCACCTGACATGGGTCACAAGGTGGTCTGAAGATGTCTCCTATCTGTGCTGGGCTTTGAGGTGCCTGGAGGAAGCTAACTTATTAACTAAGGCCAGCTGCTGCCAGTGCCATGCTTAGGGTTGCTAAGAAAGAGGTACGGAATATGCTGAAGCCAGATTCTGCTTGTTAGGGTTTGTGAACATTTGAGAGATTTTATGAAAATATGCAGTATGAACCAAGACAGGCCCTTTGTATGGATAACCTACTGGAAGTGGCTTGGGTGGGCCCACAAGTTGGTTGGGGCCGGCTCTCAGGGAATCAGAACAAACATATGGTGTTAGCCAGGTTGAAGGAGACTCATATATGGTAGCTGCCTGCATCTGCACACTGGAAGGGCTGAGGGCTCAATCAAGGAACAATAGCTTCTGCCAGCACTATTCTGAACAAAAGCTGCCCCTCCATCTTTCAGCCTGAAGCCAGACAACTCAATTTCTCCCTGTATTTCCCTGGCACCTTTCAAGCTGCTTCCCCAGCTCTGGAGCTCAGAGAGAGTGAGTCATCAGCAAGTAAGTCCTTGTGCAGGCTCTTTAAGAGAAAAGCCTGGGACTCCAACCATTCTCTGTCTCACTCAGCCATAATCTCCACTGGTTTTCACTGACAGAAGTTGTGTGGATGTCTCCTCCCAGCACTGAAACTCTGGGCTGTGGGGGCTGGAACCTCCCATTCCTCAGCGGGGACCTCTGCAGCTGAGCTATCCCTCCCAATTTTTATGGGGACCAGTCCATTCTGTGTCTCCACCCTTTCTACCAGTCTTGATGTGGCTTCTGTAAATCCTGAGTTTTAGGACTTCTGTTCAGCCAAATTTCAGGTGATTCTCAATGATTGTTGTTCTGTATTTTAGTTGTAATTTTGATGTGGTCTTGAGAGGAAGCAAACACAGTTTTTACCTATTCTGCCATATTGACTGGATCCAGTATCACTCTTTTGTTATTTTCTCCAAACAAGTGTACCAATGGCATTGTTAAAGAAACTCTTAATGCATGCTCCTTTTCACATACAATATAATTGAAATGCCATAACCTGGGGAAAAGTGGACCAGGAGTTTTGTCAGAGCCAGCATTGAGAACAATCATTTCCGATATGCACAGGGTGATTTACTTTTGGGGAACAAAGCCTTCCCTTTGGTGAAACTGTTGGTCTGCATGATGATCTGCCATTTTGTTGTAGGGATTGTTTCAGCCTTTTAAATGTCTATAATTTGATTCAAACCTTGGCAATAAAGTATGATTTTAACATCATTATGTGTGAAAGATATCACATTGGAAATAGAATAATGAAAGACAATAAAATTATTTGCTAACTGAGAATTATTTAGATAACTTTTATAGAAGGAATCAACTTTTGTGATAAATATGTTACAGATGTCATGAATCCAAGAACTCATCCAGTTCATTTTGTCAAAGTGCTAAATCTGTATTCTCCTACCTTTAAACATGGAGTCCTAGATTATGTAATCCAAATATACAGTGATATTAAATTTTACATTTCCCATTTTCCAGACCTTTATGAAATTTATCTGGATGCTACAAGAACAGTGAATCATAGATGTTTATACCAAAGTACTTTGTAAAATGCATAGTAGTGACCATGGGGATAGTGGTAATACCAGTAGTAGTAATCTGCCAGACATAAAATTATACTTGCACCTACAGACTTGTATTCTAGTTCTAACTGTATCCTTAATCCTAGTATTTTGTTAAAGACACTTCTTGTTTTCAAGTTGTGGTTACTGCTTCCTCACACCTCAGGTGCTGCAGGGCTTAAAGGTGGGCTGGTACCCTCTTTGCTTACACCACTCAGCAGTATCTCCCCTCCTAATTATTGTCATCTACTAACCATTTTATCATTCTCAAAGACTGTAGCACCTGTCTCATGTCTCACACTCCTCTATCATCCTGGATGGTTTCAATATCCACAAGGACACCCATTCAGTTTTCTGGCCTCCCAGTTCCTAGACTTCCTTGTCTGCAGTTACCTTCTCATCTTCCGTCTTGAAAACTTGGTCCCACAGTCATCTTCTTGCCCTTGTTTATCACCTCTAAAATTACAGACTCAAGCATCCTGCTCCTATCCAATATTCTTATTCAACTACTCTCCTTATTGCAATCCTTTGGTCTCATCAAGACTTCCAGTTCATGGATGCCTCTCCTTTCTTTTATGTCTTTCCCTTATCCAGCATAGATTCCATGGTTCATCATTTCAGTAACATTCTTACCGAAGCCTTAAACTCTCCTGATCCTCTCCATTTTATTTGTGCATTCTAGCAGAACTCAACCCCTAGATAAATCTTACTATCTGGCTCCTTTACATTTGTGGTCATGCATTCTTGAGCAAATTCAACTGACATAGCAGATTATTAATTATAAATTAATCATCTCTCACCTCGCATGGGCCTTTTACAACCAAAAGAAAATTCTACCACATTTCTTTGGTGAATGTACTCTCTTCTCTACTGCTATTTGAAACATTTCCACTCCAATCAAACCTCCAACGCCCTGTGTCTCTTTTCACAGATGTCCCTTCTTCTTTCACTGAGAAAATTGAAACTGTTAGACACTTTCTCAAATGCTAGCTACCAATCTTATAAGCCTATCAATCCTGCCCCCATGATCTCCCTTCATGAGTGTACATTAAAGCACGTGTCTTCACTAAGGTTGCTATGACTTCTGGACACTGAGTCCAATGGGTAGTTCTCAGCTCTCCTTATCTTTCAGCCACATTTAACATTACTGACTGCTCTCCCCCTTAAGTCGCCTCTTCAATTAGTTTTCGTGACCACTCTATGCATTTCAAGAGCTAAGTAGGAGTTGGTTCCATGAAAATGGGTGGCAGAAGTTATGAAACCTTTCAAGGCAGGGAAAAGCAAGGTGCTTTAGAGAGGATGAAAAACAAGACAAGGCTAGGGAGACAGATCATTAGATCATTTGGGCCCATGTTGGCTCTGTAGAAGAGTGTGGATTTTATACTACAGTCAAAGGAAAGCTGTTAGAGGTTTATTGGTAGGGGGGACCAATAGCAATTTTATAAAAACTGCTATGTCTGATACACATGGGAAGGATGAGAAGACAGGAGTGGAAGGAGATAGACCATATACAGGACATTGTCAATTACATTCCCTAGAGCCACTTCTCTACTTCTTTCTTGTTAAAGAATGCCAATGTTATTCACATTTCTCTGAATGGATATGTCCTTAAATCCTAGCTCCAAGCGATAAGACTTGACTTGTCTAATCCAATCATTGAGGTCACATTCCCCTACCCAATGACTGTTGGGACATGTGATTTAGGTCTGGTCAATGAAACACTGGCTGCTGGGGGGAGGGACAAGTTTTGGGAAGCTTTTTCTTACTTTAAAAAATAGATATAAGACAGTGACAATCCCCTTTCTCTTTTTGGATGTTGTCCTTTATATGTGACTACCAGAGTTGCTGTATTGGGATCATGAAGGCCATGAGCCCAAAAAGATGAGTTAACATGCTAAGACTATAAGAGCAGAAAGATGGAGGAATCTGGGCCTTGAAAGATGCTACACCAGTAAATTAACCTACCTTGGGATAACAATGCCTCTGTCTTCTTTTTTACTTGAAATAAAAGCATTCTAGTTGGTTTAGACTAGTTAGGAAGTTACTGAATTTTTCCAATAAAAGATTGTGGCAGTTCAGATTAGGGTGGTAGTAGTAGAGATGAGGAAAAGAATACAGATTAGATAACTATTTAATGAAGGTGCCAGAGCTTGGCAATGGTGGTGGTAGTGGGCATTATGGGAGAGGCAAGGATAACCCTAGGTGACTGAGTAGAAAAAAAAGTATATAAAGATAATAAAGCATTTATAGAACACCCTAGGTGATGGAAAAATTCTCCTCTATATGGAGCCAAGAAAATATTATTAATAGTACTAGTATTATTATAAATTTTGCTCATATGATGAAAGGTAATCTAATATAAACTCCTAAATGCTCTGAGCTCTAGTGAACAAGTGTTTATTTTATTAATAGCATCAATATCAATATACTTAGAGAAGTACAACATATATGTATATTACAGTCCTAGTTGCCTCATTAGAATTGCACTCACTTCTTATAATATAGTGACTTACAAGAAAAGTTTAGTCTAGTTTTATTTATATTGTTTTAGATTATTTAAGTACAGTTAAGCCAAGAAATAAGCTCATCAAGGTATTTTTATGGGAAATACAACTTGAAATGAAGTGGAAGACAAATATTTATTGTCATAATAATTCATTTTTTCTTTATTATATTATTAGTATTTACTATACAAGTAACTGAGAGAGTGATGGTAATTAGGGAAATTTGTTGGAGAAGGAAAATATGAAGACACAGGAATGCATCTCTAGTTGGCCCTTCCACTACTGTTGCTCTGTGTATTTGTTCTTCAATAAACAGTGTTGAGCTTCAACCCAGGTGCTTCTCTCTGCAGGTTTACAGAGAGCCAGTGCAAGAGCTCCTTCACCCTACCAGAGAGACTTTGAGGCCAAGCTCCGCAATTTTTACCGAAAACTGGAAGCCAAAGGATTTGGTCAGGGTCCAGGAAAAATTAAGTGAGTGCTCCAGTACTTGGTCCTGAATTCAGATGGTATTTTTTTTATCTCTTTCTCATATATATATATATATATATATATATATATATATATATATATATATATATATATATTTGGATATACATATATATATAATTGGATATACATATATATATATAATTGGATATCATGGTGTAATAATAGTTATGTTCACAGAAAAGAGGAAGGAGAAGAGTTAGGAAGCTGGAAAGACAGAAGAAAGGAAGTTAAGAAATTGGAAGGGAGGCAGGAAGAGAAGGGGCGAGAAGGGCAGGAGAGAGAGAAAGAAGAGCAGATTTTAGAAAAAGGTATATGTAAAGTTAGTAGTAAATCTTTTCAGAAAACAAGAAATCTTGAACTAAATTTAAAATTTTTATATTCCCCTTTACCTATTCTTGGGACAAATTTATGACTCTTTGTAACTTTGTAATTGGAGACTAAGTAAAAAGTTGTGGTATTGTTTTTTTCCCCCTCCTGGGTTAATTGTTTTCATCTTGAAAAGCCAAATCCATACTCAGGAATCCAACTGAAGATACTCCTTTAGGAATTTACACACACACACACACACACACAAAATTCCAAAAAGTAGTCCAATAAAATGAAATGTATCTAATTACATAAGTGTACATGTTGTCCTTGTGCTCCCAGTGTTTTGAAAAGCATTTGAAAAAGTCCATCGCTCAAATGGAATCTGTACCTCTTTGGAGAGGCTAGGGAGTGAGACTGTAGGCCTGGGTACTCACCACTCCCCAAGAACACTCTTCAACTTCAGAGCTCTGAGTCGCTTGCTGCTCACTGCCCACATGGCTTCTTCTCCTTCCCAGGCTCATCATACGTAGGGACCACTTGTTGGAGGGAACCTTCAATCAGGTGATGGCCTATTCCCGGAAAGAACTCCAGCGAAACAAGCTCTACGTCACCTTTGTTGGAGAAGAGGGGTGAGGCACCAGTAGTTTTATACAGACACCTCAGTGTATGTGGACCAGAGCCCCTGGATTTGGGGTGATTTTTCTCAAGAAGGAAGCAAGGTAGCTCTAAGCATTTTCCCCAAGATGATTCTGATCATGTCCTTCCAGGAGGACGTTCTGTCTCCAGGTATTGCCAAGCTTTAGGTTTCATGGTCTTTAAAAGCCTAAAATTATTTACAGGTACTAGAGTCTGAGGTACATAGTCAAAGTATAAACCAAAAATGCAACCCTTAACTACTTGATCTTTACTTTTTCAGATGGTATACACTGCTATTTGATCAAAAACCTCTCCCTCCTAAAGTCCACATACAAGTATACAACTACATACCAAATTTTCCATATAATTTCAGTGTTTTCATGGGAAACAATTTTAACTGTGGAGGGCATATCAGTATAAACTTGGAAGCTTTTCAATTCACACATATGCATACATGCATGCATGCACACTGTCACAGAAATTTCTCTTATGCCTCCCCAAATAAAATATTTGTTTTTAGTGAGCCAGCTGTGTGCTTTATCCAATAGTTGTTATATGATCAAAAAAATAAAAACGGTTAAGGAACATTGCCATATAAATTCATTTATGGCCATCGGAGTAAGAACATCCCCAAACCAATTATTGCAACTTCATTTTCTATAGCAAACTGATACTTCTGTTGGGATCCACTCTAAAGAACCAAGAGTGCTCTCTGCTTGAACTAGCACCAACTCTGAAAGAACACACTAGCACCTAGGTATAGATAGGTCCCCTGCCTCTCACTCATAATGAGCTTCCTGGCCTCTGCTTCCTTTGCAGCCTGGACTACAGTGGTCCTTCGCGAGAGTTCTTCTTCCTTTTGTCTCAGGAGCTCTTCAACCCTTACTACGGACTCTTTGAGTATTCTGCAAATGATACTTACACGGTGCAGATCAGCCCCATGTCTGCATTTGTAGAAAACCATCTAGAATGGTAAGATCGAGAATTTTTACTTTCTTTTTATTATTATTTATTTATTTGTTTATTTTTAAAGATTTTTATTGGGGAATTGGGGGAAGGGGAACAGACAAGTGGCTGTCGTTTTGTTCTTCAGTCTAGTTGTGGAGGACGTTGCTTCACTGAAGTTGGCACCATCATTGCACTCTTCCCGGGCAAAGCAGATCGGTCGCTGGCTTCTGGATGGCCACTCACGGCGGCTTGCTGGCTGCTCACGCTGGCTGCTGGCTACATATGGTAGCCCATGGCAACCCACTGCCACAGGGGCTGCAGCTTACGCTGTCGCCGGCGACTCACGGCAGCCCAGCTGCAGGTTGAGCTGTTGTTTAGCATTTTAGCTGTGGTGGGCAGTGTCACTGGCCCTCATATGTGGGATCCGAACCGGGGCCCTCTGGCATCCCAAGCCAGTTCTTAACCATCATGCCACTCGGCCGGCCTGAATTTTTACTTTCTTATGTTTGAAAGTTCTAGTCTTTCTTATTCTGAAGGAAACAGCATTTCTCAAGAGCTGCTATGGGCCAAATAGAATGAGGGGTGATGAGAGTGAACAGCAAAGCACTAAAAGAAAGACTCTCTGTTAGTTTTCATCCAGAATACAAAATAAATTACTAAAAATACTGCAAGTGTATTATCAGCTACAAATTGATATAAGATACAGAATTGCCTTCTAAAGAGGAACTAAGATAAGTAGACATAGGACCTGAATATTGATAATTCTACTAAAATTATGAGTCCTCAGTGGATGTTTTGATTCATGAATTTGAAATATTTTGACACGTGTACTTTTGGACCAATGGCTTTAGCATTGTGGACATCAGCTTCCGCATCTTATTGTAAAATAAGGCTGTAGAGTCAAATGACCTCTAAGTATCCTTTGGGCTCAAAAATCCAGTTACCTCTTTGGTTCTCTCTTATTGAAGCATCTATTACCACTTATTGATATGTGTGAGAAGATAAGTATGAGTCAATTCTGTACAGTTCTGTGGGTGAGGTACCTCAGGTATTAGAAGCTTCCAGAAATCTGCATGGGACATGTAGCATGCTTGCAATTTCCCGCTGTGTCACCACCACACCTGATTTGAAATTACCCCAGCTCTCACTGCAGGAGTTCCTGCCATCAAAAAGAAAATGAGTCCTAAGGATTGTTACTGTGGTTCTTATGTGACATTGCTTATTTATGATGTGTTGCAATGGCTGCTGATATAGTCAGATTCTGGGATAATCCCTGGGCTTTCTGGGCTTACAGGCCAAATTCTTGTGTTTTGGTTTTATAGCATGAAATAACCCACATCTTTTAAGGCTGTTAGCTATTGCCATGCCTGCTCTCTCCAAAAAGTCTCAGCTCTGTAGTTCCAAAGCTGAGGCAAGAGGATGTTTACATCAAACATTTGACACAAATGACAAAACAAAAGTTGCCCTTGTCATTCTTTTTCTTGTCACTTGTCAATAAAGGGATGAAGAAGCCTGTAAGACAGAAATACACAGGAAAGCAGAGCAGGCAAGTCACTGCCAAGGGGACTTATGACCCTGAGAATTAAATGCCAGCTCTCGCTTAGGTCACATTTAGGCAGGGTTAGAGAACACTATAACCCATGACACAACAATACATATGTACATAGATTATACTTAATATAACCCCTCAATTTTCTCTTCTTTGTGAGCATGAAATTTAAGATGGCATCTTAGAGGGCATGAATTGGAATCTACAACCAATAAAGAAATATTTTCATCAAATATCATACCATATAGGACCATGCTAGATGTTGTGGGAATAAATTTATTAATCAAACAATTATAAACTAAGCACATACTATATGTTGGAAGGATACAAAGATGAAATGAACAAGATCTCTTCCCTCAAAAAGCTGTAGTGGGAAGAATGCATGAGTGAAGTAACAATTACAATACAAAACTTAAAGTGCCAGGTTATCCATACATAATATCCACATATACATGTATGTGTGCGTGCGCACACACACACACATACCTGAAATGCATATATATATATAATTGTATTAAATCATTAAGAAAAGTGTCTCACTCAGCCTGAGATAGAGGATAGGGAATGGAGAATAAAGCCAGTGAATCTTACAAAAAGAGCCGATGATTGTACCAAGTCTTAAGGGGCAGTTGTGTAGGAGACTCAGCATAGAAGGTGAGAAAGACATGTCAAAGAGACAAAATTGGAAGTAGGAATTGAAAGACATCAGAAGGAATGGGGACTTCAGCAAGCAGTGAAGATGAATTAGAGCAGAGAATGATCTTTGAGGTTGTGGTAAAAGTGAGGCTAGACATGGAAAAGAGAGGGAGGTGGTCATATTCCATATGGAGCATACTATAATTAAAGTTTTGTTTTTGAAAAGTAAATCTTGCCATATTGTGAAGAAAAATTTGAGAAGGGAGCCATATCAGCTCTGAAGCAATTGCTAAGTCAGAGAAAGAAATAGAGGGTCAAATCTAAGGCAGAGGCAGTGTCTGAGAAGGAAGGTACTGACTTTAGGGACATCTCAGAGAGAGAAGAGATTCAACTAGTTAGTGCACTGACTGAATTTGAGGAGAGGATGAGAGAGAAATACAGAATAATTGCAAGGTTTCTGGTCACACAATTGGGTCGATTGATGTTATTAACTGTGATAAGAGTTATGTCAAGAAGACAATATTTAGAGAAGATGAGAAATTCACTCTTTGTTATGTAGAGCTTGCAATTTCTGTTATAAACACAGCTTGATATTATACTATGTAAGTGGAACTATGGCCCTGGTTAGCAGGAGAGCAGCTGGGCTAGATATTGAGATTTGGGAGAAATGAGCAAAAAGTAGTTCTGCCATGGGAAGATATGAGCCTACAGAACTTGTGCAGACAACAGCAGAGCAGAAAGCCCACATCAAGATGGACAACACTGATGTATGAGGGGTGGGCAGAGTCAAAGTTGTCAGAGCGTGGGACTTTCCCAACGGGAAGAGTGTGATGAAAGAATATATAGGCCTGGAGGGAGTGGGAGGTGGTCAGAAAAGGTCTGCTTGTGGAGAGGAAAAGGCAGTCTAAGAAGGCAGAGGCCAGAGGAGGTGTGTAGGCAATAATGCTGTCTCCAGGGGTCCAGAGCAGGACAGCGGAAAGACAGAGGTTAAGACATCAAGAGGGTAAGAACATTCAGATGACCAAGGGAGCTGCATTTCGATGGCAAGCATACGAGAACAAGGGTAAGTGCCATGGTGTCATAAATGGGACCTAACATTCTGAAAAAAGCCTTGGAGTCCAGAAAGTTTCAGTGCAGACACAAAATAAAGCCACAGGCAAAGGCCTAATGGAAAGCACAGAGGAATTGTTGGACTTGTGGCCTGCTTGTTTGCTACTCAAGAGTGACTTCAGTCACTTTCCACTGGGGAAGGCCCCTTGCCAGATGCCCAGCTCTGCTCTCACCCTGACTTTGTTGCTTCTGCTCATCTATGGCATGCAAGAGCTGTAAGTGTGTCAGTTATACTTTACTGCATTGAGGAAGTAAATTTTGTAATACAGGGATGTTTTAAGAATTAGCAAAGTTCTCTGGGTAGATCCTTTATAAAGATCAAAGACCCGGCAGTGCCTGCCCTGGAGGTGCTAGTTAACCTCTGTCTTTCTGAAGGAAAGAATGTGAGGACTTCCATCCACTGACATTCCCACTTATTTGAGAATATTTGCTGTGTAACCCAGAAACAAAATTCCAGGTAGCTTTCTGATCCATGCGCAGCCTAAACAGAGCTTGTGCACATGAGAGTGTCCTTTCAGTGCTGCACGTTGGATGGCAACTCTTTATGAAGTAAGCAGGGACCTCCCCAGCCCAATTCTGAGCCTTTCATTCCTAAGCCCTGGGCTGCTGAGAAGCTGGGATGCTGAACCAGCACAGGTGACAGACTGTATCATGACCAGCACGTGGAGTTGGACTCTTCTCTCATCAGTGCCTAGGAGGTCCTGTGATAGGAGTCAGTTTTCCTTTGGGCAATCATGGGTGAGAGAACTTGAGCTGCTTCCTTTAAAATAGAAAACCCTGTTGGGATGTTGTATATCAACCAGATGGTAACACTGCAGTTGCTCCTTCCAGGTATTTTCGTACTAGTGATCCTTGTGCCTTGTGGCAAATGGTTTTACAAAGAAAACTGAGCATCTCTGAGTGCTCAGTCAGCTCTTTGGCCAGCATTTTAATGAAGGGTGATGAGGAAGGCTCACTCCTGAATGAAGTTGCTCTGGACCTTGCACAAAGTGTAGGTAGCAAGTAGTTGCTGTGTCCCAGGTCTGAGTCCTTGTCATTGTTGCTACTGCTATGTCAATGACACTGAGAAAACCTGAATCCAGAGTTCTCAAATATTGCCCAACCAGATGCCACTCACCCACCAGCAGGATGGGCAAAGCTGCAGCTGATCTCAGATCTAGGTGTATGACCCTGCTTCACTCCCCAGGATCTCTTATTCTGAGACCCACACAGCCTGTGAAGGAGATGACACTTACTCTAACCAATACATCACTTGTAAAAAACAGAGACCTAACATTTCAGGGCTTCTCACGATCACAGCCTCTACTTTGTAAAGCTGGAAAATATCCCTGTCACAAGCCAGGAAGTAGCCCTCTTGGGAGCAGGAGTACTCCTGCTGTCTGCCCGCCTCCTCACTCTGCTGAACAGTGTCACAGACCACAAACAAGCAGTGAAAAATGGGTCAGCTTTACAGAATTAAACATCACTTAGGATTGAAACATTACTTACATGTGGCTGGAGGAGGCATCTTTGCACTTTTTTTTTCTTGTTTCTTATCTTTCACTGAACTTTTTCTGTGTTTCATACTCTATTTTGTCTGATTCTCTACTAGAAAGTAATCTCCATGGAAGCAAAGACAGTCTTTTATTTCACTCTAGCTCAATACCTGGCACTTTGAAGTGTTCAAATAACATTTCCTTGAAGATTAGGTGTATAAATCAGTTTTGTTCCACAAGCCGCACCAGTTGCT